TACACATCAGTACTATTTGGAGATCTCATGGAAAACTGTTTCTGCAGCAAAGAGCAAGTATAGTTCTGCAAGTCAAGGACAGATTGTGTCCTGTGTAACCAGACATACTGACTCCTGCCTGCCTAATATTTAAGTGGAAAGTTGACACTTGGCTCTCTGACACAAGCTCTGACCTGACAAAGCAATATAATCTTCTCAAATAAGGTCAGAATGGCTAGAAAATCCCAGCTATTTACTATTGAGCTGATTTTCAGAGCCAAAGGGCCTGTTTGCTTTAAATCAACATACTCCATCAACCTTCCCTTCACTCTGGAAAGTAAAAACAAAACAACAACAACAAAAAAATTAACAAACTTGGAGAATCCCTGAGATTTTTTTCCAAATTATGAACATCCTTCTGATTTCGTTTTCTAATTTGTAGGGTACAATGAATATAAGTGATAAAGGCATATCCTTTAAAAATATAATCTCAACCCAACCAAAATTAACTGTTTTCAGTTATGATTTCCAGTGGATCTCTTTTCTGGGGATCAGGCTTTAGAAAACAGAATAAATTATGGCAGATACCAGTCAAAATTCTGTGTTCCTTTAGGACCCAGTTTCTGTAACCTCCTTTTAGTCAAAGAATTATACACACACACATATCCACAGCACTATGGTGAAGGGGACCTATCAGTAAAAATCCCTGCTAAGGGCATTTCTTTAATATGTTTGGAATTGTAAGAGGGAGAGGATTTTCTCTTCAAACTCCAGCCTCACATACCTTGGAGCTGATGAATTCTGCACATCCCTGGGATTTGCAGGAGGTTACAGAACAAGATTACACACCGTGGTGATATATTTACTGCAAGGACAACCCGGGCACAGCTGCAGCTTGAAACCAGAAATGTGTGGAAAGAGTCTAACCATGAAATACTTAAGGCTATTATTTCATCGGAGCATCCTTGTATACCCAGGAAATGAAGCCAATCAATTTTGCTTTTCTTTTTCATTGTTGTTGTTGGTTTAATGCAATTTAGTCTGAGAGGATGAAAACTGGTACCTGACTTTATTATTTACTCATGTAAAATCAGGGCTGAGAAAAAAATCAGTCCAGTAACAGGGATTATATGTAGTTAACTGATCTGCAAAGAATGAGAAGAAGGCAAAGCTCTCCATTTATGCAAAAATGGATGGTGGGGTTTGCCTCTCCTTTTAGGATTAAACTGCAAATGTCATTTAACATTGAATGGCTTTGGAAATAATATCACACTGAATTTCTCAAGTGGATCCCCCAGACTTTTTCCTTTTACTCCCAGTTCCTAAATAATTATACTGAGGGCACCGTGGCTTGAGTGGCTAGCAAAAATAGACAATGCCCTCATGGAGCCCATAACCTTGCAAGGAAAAGAGACATTAAAAGGAGAAGAAGGACATAGATAATAACAGAGTTACAAGCCTCGATAAAGCTAGAAGGACAAAGTACTCCAAGAGAGCACATTACATGCCTTGTATTTTTGTGTTTATTTATCTGCTTGCTCTATAAGTCTGTGAGATTCTTGACCGATGCAATGTGTTATTTAAAATAACTGTTTAAAAACTTTGATGTTTTATCATTCTATTCCCAGAGCCTTGCACAGTCCATGGCACATGGTAGATGCTTAGTAAACTTGGTTAGTTATGTTTGTTGAGGAAAATTACAGTTGCTAGAATTACTCATGTAATCCTTACAAAAATCCCATGAGCTAAATTTTGCAGGTATTAGTGTTCTCATTTTACTGATAGGAAAACAAAGGAAAAATTAAATGATTTGCTCAGACTCCCTCAGCTAGTAAGACAGAATGAAAACAGGTCTCTGAACTCTGAAACCAGTGTTCTTTCCCCACATAACACTGCCTCCAGAAAAAATAGATAAGATAAAGAATAGAAATAATACTAATGAAACTAACAGACAATATATGCTTGTTTGCATGTCAATAAAGGGGAAAAAACAAAACAAGGAAGGAGGAAACTTCAGAGTTGAACACGGATTAAAATGAATGCAATTCATCCTCAAATAAAAATGCTATAGGATAAAAGCCAAAAACTTTCCTTAGAGTTTTGTATCTCCAGCAACCTGTATTTAAACAGATGTCATTCTTTTTAAAGAACCCTCCTATTCAAACTTCTGAAAAAGAAGATTTGCCTTTTAATGGGAAATCTTTATTCCATCATGGAGGTAAAATACAACTTCACAAGTTTGGTTATCTATTGTCAATTTTAGCAGATTTTTTCCCCTGAACTACTGTAGTTAGCATATAGAAAAGACAGGCTGCAATATATTTGAGGCCAGACTGGAAACATCCACAGGAGGTGTCTTAGCTTGCGCTCGCCATGACAAAGTACCAGAGACTGGGTGGCTTGAACAACAGAAATTTATTTCTCACAGTTCTGGAGAGTGGGAAGTCCAAGATAAAGGTGCCAGCTGGTGAGAGCTCTTTTCCTGGTTTGCGAAGGCCTTCTTGCTGTGTCCTTATGTTGCAGAGAGAGCTGTCTCTCTCTTTCTTCCTCTTCTTGTAAGGCCACTAATCTCATCATTAGGGCCTTACCCTCATGACCTACTCTTACCCCAGTTACCTCCCAGAGGCCACACCTCCAAATATTATCACACTGGGGGTTAGGTCTTCAGCATAGGAATTGGAAGGGGGTGGGGGAGAAAAACATTCAGCTCATAACAGGAGGTATAACTAAAAGAAATAAAACTGGTTGCATTACACACACACACACACACACACACACACACACACACACACGAGACTAAGCCACGCTCCAAAACATTGACAAGAAGACCATGGGTGAGGTTATGCCTAATCTTGAGGGACTACCTCTGAATAATAGAAATTAGAGTAACAATCCACAATGGAAGACCAAATAAAGCTAAACAGGAATGAGTCATGCATTTGACATTATTTTTTAAGAAATCAGAGATATTTAGACATACATAAGTCAGCAGGAAGGTCGAACACTGGTTTAACTGTCCCAAAAGAGCCTTTTGAATTTAACTTGAGCATCTTGGAGCCATAAGGGCTGAAACATCCTCATTTTAAAAGGGTACAATGTTCACTGAAATACAAAATGTTTGTACAAAACTACTCTATTGACTATGATTTCCAATTTATTACCAAAGTGGAAGAAACTGAGTACATTTTATATTTTGTTATGTTCTACCTAATTAGCAAAAACAAAACAAAGAAAGTATATACTGTAATGCTACTATATTTCAGTCCTTATGAAAAAAGGTTGATGACCAGTATAACGACCAGAAAATCAAAAACTTGTCTTGATTAATTGTGATATTAAGGACAAAAACCTGCACATGGTGTGTATTTATTTTGATTTGTGTCCTGCCTGCTTTCAACTAGAATTCATGGTGGTAAAAAATAAATCACTATATTTACCAACTCACGTTTGATTGCACAGTACAGAAAACCCCAGCTACAATGGTTTAATAAGCACATAAGGGAATTTATTGGCCCATATAGTTGAAGACTTGAGGTAGAACCCATATCTAACACAACTAGATCCAAGAATTCAAAGAGGTCAACAGGCCTTGGTCTCCTTATCTTCATATCTCAGATCTGCTTTCCTTTGGGCTGGCCCCATCCTCAGGCACTCTGTACTGTGGAATAAGATGGAGGCCAGAAGCTCTAGTTTTTCATCCCATCCTGTTGGCCATTCTCCTGGAAAATTAACACCTCCTTTACAGTCATGCTAGTAAAAGCATATGAATGCGCTTTGATAGGCCTGACTTGTGTCATGTCATGCCTTCATTCTTGATCCAGTTACTGAGGCCAGGGCAACAGAGCACACTGATAGGCCTGGCCTGGGTCATGTTTCCACCCCCAATCCAAGTACCCCAATCCAAGTACAATAAAACTGAATCACTGACAAATACTGGAAAGCAGAAGTCATGTATAAATGAGGTGATGGTCTTGGGGGTGAGGGGAAAGAAGGGGAGATGATATGTCATAGAAACCTGGATTGAGAAAATGTGGAATGATCAAGTATAAAACTTTGCTTTGAGTTTCCTGGAAGCAAAGGCAAGGAGAGACTTTCAATCGAAAAGAAACACTCGCCTCATCTAAAGAAAGGAAGCTCCCAGCTTGTCGGGTGATATAGATACTTTCTTGGCTCTGAATTCTGAAAAGAACTTGTCTCCAAGTCCTTTAAATAAGACTGAGCAACATAATGAGGGATTATTTTTTTAAAAAGCAAGTTTTTACTGTTGTGGCCTCTCCCGTTGCGGAGCACAGGCTCTGGACACGCAGGCTCAGCGGCCATGGCTCACGGGCCCAGCCACTCCGCGGCATGTGGGATCTTCCCGGACCGGGGCACGAACCCGTCTCCCCTGCATCGGCAGCCGGACTCTCAACCACTGCACCACCAGGGAAGCCCTAAAAGCAAGTTTTTAAATAGAGGTGGTACACATTCAGCTCAATGAAGACCAAGGACATAGCATTACACTGTAGCTCTGGAAAGTCAAGTATTCAAAAGGCTATAGTGACTCAGTCCAAGTATGTAACCTTAATGAAGGACTCAAAGGTAGAAAACCTACAATGAAATACTAGCCCTGCCACTTATTAACAGAGCCACCTTAGCTAGGTCCCTCTTGTTCTCTGAGCTTATGTTTATTAAATGTAAAGAAGTGGTAATAATAGCAATATTTTCTGACTATATGTGAGAATTAAATTAAGTAACATGTCAAAGTACTTTTAACTCTCTAATATGTATGCAGATAGGTAACATATTTTCATCAGAAAAATTTATACTCTAGGATCTTCTAGATAAAGGATAAAGTCAGATCAGTTTATATATATTTTATAATTAATTACATAAAATGTTCAACTGATGAGTCATTAAATAGTGAAAGGCTATTTTAAGTTTTCATTGCAGTACTAGTAAAAGCCTTTTTGACTCCCCACTTTTTATTATTTTGCTCTTAAACTTCTCATGTTTCAAATAAGTGAGGTGTCATCCACAAGAGAAACAGTCATTTTTATTTGTGAAGTACTTTAAGACAGTGATTATAACACTGAATAAAGCTTTGCAGATATTATTATTACCAATATGATCACTACCACCACCATTACTTCTACCAATTGCTACAATTTATTGAGCATTTACTATTGGCCAGACAGGAAATGAAATGCTTCACATACATTAATAACAAAATCCCTGAACTAGAAATGAGAAGGGTGATTTTTATAATGCCTCTCAAGAGCAGTAAAACATTAGACTAATCACTTATCTCTGGTCTGGGTTTCTCTAGGCTTGGACTGGTATTGGTTGCACATCTTTAAAGTTTCCTTCCAGACTTCAATATTCTATTACTACTTTGTCAGGGTCAACTTCATGGTGCAAAGGTTGCTTCTCACATTTGTGGTTTATAAGTGCTTTTACCCCAGTTATGAATTGATACTTTTCTTAGAATGTTCTCTATGGTAGTTTATCAAAAGCAGCACCATCATTTTCTTTCAATGAACTGATGGGATATTCTTCTAGACGAGAGAAGGGCATGTCTTCTAAAATTTGTGGAATTTTGTGGAATGTGTTCTCTGGAAGAAAATAGTAAGGAGCCAATAAGTTTGTGTCACTGCCTTAAATTAGTGAGTGGTCATTGTATTTCAAGCAAAAATTCATTTCTTTTTTTTTTACCTTTATTTATTTATTTAAATTTTTTAAATTGAGATATAACTGACATAAACATGATTTCTTAAATCCCCTAGCAGTTCAGCAGCTTTCATCAGTTAAGGTCATAGTTAATATACCAAATGGTACCTAGCAGTGGTTTTCTTTTCTTTTTTTTTCCTAAATTAATTAATTAATTAATTTATTTATTTTGAGCTGCGTCGGGTCTTTGTTGCTGTGCACGGGCTTTCTCTAGTTCCAGAGAGCGGGGGGCTACTCTTCATTGCGGTGCGTGGGCTTCTCTTTGTGGTGGCTTCTCTTGTTGCAGAGCACAGGCTCTAGGCGCGTGGGCTTCAGTAGTTGCCGCGCGGGTGCAGTAGTTGTGGCTCGTGGGCTCTAGAGTGCAGGCTCAGTAGTTGTGCCTCACAGGCTTAGTTGCTCTGCGGCATGTGGGATCTTCCTGGACCAGGGCTCGAACCCGTGTCCCCTGAATTGGCAGGTGGATTCTTAACCCCTGTGCCATCAGGTAAGTCCCCTTAGCAGTGGTTTTCAGTTTTGGCTACACATTATAGTTACTGGGGAATTTTAAAAAATATTAATCCCTGAATCCCACAACAGAGATTCTGATGCGATTGGTCAAGGGGGGCAGACTGGATATTGGGATTATTTTTTCCAATGCTTTCCCAGATGATTCTAATGTATAGTCAAGATGGAGATTTACTGGCCCATCTGGTGTTATCAGTGAGGCAGGGCATCACATACTCGAAGATAAGATGTGGCAATCAGGAAGAGGTGGTGGATGCTCTGTTGGAAAAAATCAGCAGGATCGACTAGTCGGGCCACAACCAACACTTACACCATATGTGAAACAGGCAGTATAGAAAACGTCTGGTTGTAAGAAGGAGTTTTTACTTATGTATGTTACTTGGGTGGCGCATCAACTGAGTTAAAATGGAGAGGAAATGTATGTCATCTTCAATGGGAGACTGTGCCTTTTTTCTTTTTCTTTTTTTCTGCTGGTTTTTAATTGTCAAAATCCAGAGGAGCACCTGGGAAAGGTATATATTTACCACATTCTCCTGACCCTCCAACCCCTTTTGGGCGGCACCAAATTTCTTTTTCTAATTCCAAGGTCTTTTGGACATGGTTTATAATATCATTTTATCCTGCAAGGTCTATTTTAATTGACAGAACCAATAGACACAAGAAATCATTACCAAAATAAGAATCCAACTCGAGTAATCCTTCGGGGATTTCTTTGCTTTCTTAAATAAAATCCAACACATGGTCCTGTTCTGGCATGTTTGGGAAATTACGCCCATTATGTCTCTTTGTTTGCTTTTAAAACCCGCTTCTTTAATTTCTTGCAAATTTTTCTGTCCAAAGCTAAATTGATTCTGCACAGCAAAGATAAACTCCAGTCCAGAAACTAGAAAGAAAATGTTTATGTGGTTGAGGTGCATATTTATAGAATTCCTGATTGGCTGGTGAGACCCGGAGGGTCAGCAGTCCAGCTTCTGGTAGATACAATGGCCCTTTTTTAGTTCTTTGAAATGAGACGTTTTCATCTCTACCATGAAGCTTTCAGGTCTGGTCTACAGATGGCTGATATTTGTGATCTTTCTTATATCTATTTGTGTCTTCTTAGATGAAATTTTGAGGTTACATGTATAAATAATATGGAAGGAAGTGAATGCTTGAGGTTAATGTTTGTAGGAAAAACCAGGGAGGGGACTTTTTGCTAAAGGTTTTTTAAGAAAGCTACTCTACTTCCTACAGACTGATGTAGTAACCCCAAGACAAGGGGTTTTCACAAATTTTTTTTCCAGTTTTTATAATGAATGCAAAACTGTATCCCATAACCTGAAGCAGAGAGAAATAATCAAATTAGTCACAGTGTTATACAATTTCTTGTTTGTTTGTTTGCCTTTCCATTTCACAATATGATGAGAGAAAAGTAAGATATTTTGAAAAGCAAAAGCGTAAAAAAATAAATTTCCTCCATGTAGCATTTAGGGGTTAAAAAAAAAAAGAATAGGAAAGGCCACTAATTATAATATACTCACTGACTACCTGAAGATTTCAGAGTTTCTATTTTTTTGTATTGATTTTCCTATTGGTAGGAGTCCTGACTGTTTTGTTTCCTCATATCTCAGCCTTTATCACTGTTAAATAATGTTAGATATGTGTGTACATGTATGTGTTTATGTGCATGGCATGTGTTAAAGGAATTTAGAAATGTAGTAACAAATTTTCTCATAATACAATTATATTTTGATTCTAAATGTGGATTTTATTAAACTACAGGATACCTGTAAGAAGCTTTGGCTATAAACAGTGATGATCATTTTGTAATGTATAGAAATATCGAATCACTATGTTGTGTACCAGGAACTAACATAGTGCTGTAGGTCAATTATACTTCAAAAAACAAACAAATAAACAAACTGCAGAAAAAGAGATCAGATTTGTAGTTACCAGAGATGAAGAGTGGGGGCAGGGGGAATTGGATGAAGGTAGTCAAAAGGTACAAATTTCTAGTTATAAGATAAATAACAGGGAAGTAACACACATGATTAATAGAATTAGCACTGCTGTATATTATACATGAAAGGTGTTAGAGAGTAAATCCTAAGGGTTCTCATCACAAAGAGAACATTTTTTTTCTTTTTCTTTATGTTGTATCTATATGAGCTGACGGATGTTCACTACATTTTTGTGGTCATCATTTTATAATGTACGTAAGTCAAATCATTATGTTGTATACCTTAAACTTATACAGTGCTGTATGCCAATTATTTCTCAATAAAACTAGGAGGAAAAAAAGAAGTTTGGGCAGTAAATCTTAGAAAGCAATTTCGATTAGTTTAAGCAAAAATTAAGCTTCATTGCAGGGCTATTGGTGTTATTTCACAGTACCTAAGGGCCAAGATATGTCAGTGTTTTAGGCTACTTTTAAAATGAACTCAATGATCCCTGACTCCTGGTATTTACACCATGTAGAATCTCCTCCCCATGAGTATAGACTGGAAATAGTGACCTATAACAAATAGAATACAGCAAAAGTGACGGGATGTCTCTTCCAAGATTAAGTTATAAAATTCTATAGCTTCCACCTTGTTCTTTCTCTTTCCACTCTGATGAAGGCCGTGATGTGAGCTGCCCTGTGAAAAGCTTATGTAGAAAGGAATTGAGGACAACCTCTATCCATAATTAAGAGGAACTCAGGCTCTCGATGTAACAGTCTGCAAGGAACTGAATCCTGCCAACAACCATGTGAGAGCTTGGAAAAAGATCCTTCCCTAGTTGAGAATTCAGATGAAACCACAGACTAGGTCAACACCTTGACTGTAATCTTGTGAGAGACCCTGAGATGGAAGATCCAGTTAAGCCATGTCTAGATTCCTGACCCACAGAAATTGTGGGGTAATAAATGCTGTTGTTTTAAGTCATTTAGTTTTGAGTTAATGTGTTGCATAACAATAGATAACTAATATAGTCAGCAACAGACTGGAGGAGCGCTAGGGAAATCCATAAAATGTGTCTTTCTGCTCCTTGATTCTCTTTTTCTCTAGTTGTCTATCTCACTCAACTCTCATTACCAAACCACTTTGCCCTCAGTGCAAGATACACCAATAGCTGCCACATTTACCTGCCCTCTGTTTCTGTCATACAGAAGGAAATTAATGTCTTTTTAGATACATTTCCAAAACTCTAATGGCGGGAATCAGATTGGCTGATCTTGGATCAGAAATGCATCTCTGAACCAATCATCTATCCCAGGAGGGAAACACGCAAGGAAGAGACTGTGATTGATCTTGGTTGGGTAAGTGTACTAATGCCACAGTGTCTGGAGTAACTGTGAAGACTGAAGAAGGTAGATGTAATTTGTTTCCTTATTTTGTTCACTTTAGCCTACTGTTTATACAATTTGAATTACTAGTATATGCTAGTAATATATTTGAATTACTAAGCTCATATATACCATTACTCTAAAAAGTAAATATAGAAAAAATTAAGGTCTCCAAAAGACTTCCCACCTAGAAAATGCATCATATGAAACTTGACATTTGTGCAAGGTACATGCCAAGAAGTAGAAAGTAATAGACACTGACATTCTTGATTATTCAGAAAGGATATGGTTTGACATTTAAGGCCAACTGAAGCTTCATACACCCATTGTATCACAGGCTCATTTGGCCCTCCATTCTCTGCCTATTTTCCTACATGTGTAGAAAAACTGATAAAATTCCAGCAAAGTGGGGGAAAAAATGTAAGATCAGTTGTTATACCAGGATGGTGAGCGTTAATCAAGCTACAGTATTTCTCTAGCTACAGTTGTGTAATCATGACAAATGAAAAGATCGCTTCAGAACTGCCTATACTTATAAGAACAGAACATTGACTGTGATCAAACAATGTAGACAAAACAAATGGCTTTGCTGCTGTCTCACTGGGATCCGAACAAAACAAATGGTAGAAGATTATGTTATATATATGTATATATATATATTTTTTTTCTTTATTGGAGGGGACACCCAGATGATTATATTTTGACCATCAGACTTGCTTTGTGTATCAAAGTGTTTTCTAAAAATTAGCTCTGAAATCAGAGAAAATAAGCATACTGTCCTGCTCTTTTGGTGTACTAGGAGTATCAGTGAGAGGTTAAAAAAAAAACATCCTGTTGGAAATGGCCAAGGTAATATGATCATGTGTGCAAGATGCTAAAGGGCAGTTAGTCAGTGCATGGGTTGTCTTTGGAGTCAGAGGCAGGAATGGTGGGGTGATGAGCACACAATATCTATATACAACATAGTAAGTGTCTGAGGCACCAGAGCTTTAGAACCACACTACTTGGGCTCAAATCCTGCTTTTGCCAAGTACTAGACTTAGGGCACATAGTTTATATTCTGTGCCTCAGTTT